CACTATATTTATTCACTTCTACCATGAAGCTATCGTACTTTGCCACATGTTGTTCAAAAATGGTTCAATTTAAGTGGAGACCAAGACACAGTAAATCAACCCCATGAGGACAATCAGTGAGGACAATGTTTACCAATCACTGGGTTACTTATACTGTATAATACTGACCTTCACCAATTAACTTAAACTGCTGGTTTGAAAAATTAACTATACATAGTGTATTTGTGCCACAAAAACAAATTCAAACTACACCCCTAGGTGGTGGTGCTATTAACTAAAATGTTAAGGGTTTATTGCCTAATATTCGGTGATATACTGATGTGGTGGAACATGTTGGGTTACAGAGTGGCTAGAACAGTACTTGCTCCTCACAGCCAAGCATCTGCATGGAAACTGTACATGCACCGAGCTTAACGCCAAGTGCTGGATGGAGTTGTTAAAAGTGCTCTGCCACTTGACTCTGGAACAGTGGAAGCATGTGCTGCAGAGTGACGAATCACACGTCTCTATCTGGCAGTGAAGACAGAACAAGCTTGTCTTTAGTGGGCGCCAGGAGAACGTTATCTGCTCGACTGCACTGTGCTCACTATAAAGTGTGCTGGAGGAGGGATAATGGTTGGGCCAGTTTGTGTGGAAGCGGTCCAGTTCTTTTTTTGCTTTTAGTCGAAATGAATGCTTATGGCCCAGCCTACCAGGATCATCTGAATAACTCATTTGTAATTTTGTATTAACAGTAGTTTAAAAGTGTAAACTCCGCCCAAGTGTACAAAACTGTCATTTGAGACCTAGGTTTGTTGGAAACAATTATTTCTAAAAGCTTTAGTATAAACTTAAGCAGAACAACCCAGCTGGTACCTCATGATCAACATGTTTGGACCTTGAACATAGTTTCTATTAGGGAGAAAAAAAAAATCATGCAGACTGCCCTTTTTGACCACCTGGCTACAGTGTCAGGCTATTATCTTAGGTAAACATTCTAAGCCTCTTTACATTTATCCTATATATTAAAGTTATTACAGGAACCTAAGGTACCAGATTTTTTTTATACCATTCAGAACACCTGTCACCAATAAAGCTCATATCAGTTTACACGCCCATAACAGCAGGACTAACAGGACTTAACGTGAAAATGTCCCAAAATATAATGTCCAGATAATACTACATTGTGACATACGGTTCAACACATTTCATAGTAAAACTTCAGCACCACAGACAAGACAAAACAAAAGCAACATAAGAAATTGTTATGCAACTTGGCCCTCATCCCTCCCCTTTGTCCTTTGCATTTTCTACACAACCCAGCATCCATGCAACATGTTTGCATCTTGTCCTAGAAACATGAGAAATGAGAAAATGTTGGTACAAGCCATGCAGTACAGGAGCACGCACACAGGTATATTTCAGCACCACGGATAGCAACCACATAATTCTGACACCAAGTTTGATTATTTTAACTCATGAATGCATAGTAATAGGTTGCTGTATTAAAAGCTATAACGTTTGTTAAACTGTTAACCTTGTTAACAAATTAAACAGGAGTCAAATGCACACACTCGGAAACTTGGGTTTGTTTTATACTAACACAGGGCAGATGAGATGAAACTTTCATCTAAGCTTTAGAAATAAGACCATTAACATAAAAGGTGGTTTGGTTTAAGGATTTGTCACCTAAACATTAAAGGGTTCAGGTCAAAATTTTAGATCTACAACAGCTGAACTGACCCACATTGAGGGTCAGTGTCTGGGCATTTACTTGGATAAACACAAGTTAACAGTTTGTTTTTAAATTCCTGGACTTTAGTCAACTAAAGATGGCAGGAAAAAAGAGAGAGAGCAGCCATGATAAAGTTAAGGTTGTTTAATTTGACATTTTAAGAGACCAAAGGAACAGAGGTCCCAAACAGAACAAAATGTCCCACATAAACAGGACTACTGTGGACCCCCACCCTAAACTGACAATAATCAACAAACAACACAACCAATCACCATGGCTTCTCATCTAGAGTCAATGATGAGGTCCAAAAACCACTGATGACTGTAACTTCAAACACTTGATCTAAAAAACAAATCTTCATTCTATTCTAAAAGACTTCTGGAGGATGCTGTACCATGGACAGTGTCAGGTCCCAAAATCAGATGGATCCAAGTCTGATTTTGGAATTGGCAACCATGGTACAGTCCTCCGTAAATATTCATTACTGTGAAAGAAATCCAAGTCAGAGACTGATAGTAAACTACAGTAAAATTAAACCTGGGTTCAAGCGTGTAGTTGAGGTCATCAGTGATCAAAGACCAAATCTTACAAAACCCATGAAAAGCCATGTTGATTTTTAAACACTATGGAAAGAAAAAAAAATCTGCATGGAGCGGAGCTGTGGTCAGTCTGGGTCCTTGGTGGTCCAGACCTAAACATGAATGAGTCACAGTAAGAAGGAGGCAGGCCTGGATCATCCTGGCTCACAGTCTCTAGACTTGGTCCACTCCATAGAACACTAGACAGATCGGATCAGTCAGTCTGCAGATTGAACCTGAAGACATTCTGTGGGCTGATAGTCCGGATAGTCTGGCAACCAATGAGTGGTTCCTCCTGGGTCTCTTTCACACCAAAGTCAAGGATGCAAAATCCCCAGAACTTGTTTAGATAGACTAAAAGACAAAAAAAAAATTCTTCCTTAGTTTCACCAAGTCTGAGATTAAACTGTAGACACATCAACAGAAGGTAAAGTGAGGAGCAATTACTTTTCAATACAATTTAAAAGAAAATGTAAATATTAACAACCTAAGTCTTGGGTTGTCTCTTTGCCAAGTATATTTTCTATTAAAGACCCTAAACACACAATCTAATCTGTATGACTACTAGAATAAACCAGCATATTTATAAACCTGCTAACATAACCTTGTTCATTAAAACAAATACATTTTCCAGAGGACAGAACTACAAAATTCCTCTGGTGGGAGGTCCCCCAACAGACCATCTAGCTGCCACAGTAGAGCAATTTAAGCCAAAATACTATCAGTTTGACAGAATTAATGAGTTTTAATTTAACATTTTAAACACATCTATGGGCTGAATGAACATTTAAATCAAATAACTTCACAGCAGCTAAATCACTAGCCTGAAAAACAAAGATTTATTCAAACAAATGTATAGTAAACACATCAAATATTACCCTAAACATGCTCTGGTCAATGGTCTGAAAATTAGCAGCTAGAAGTAGACTACCATCCAGAACAGGGGTCAGCAACCTTATTAAAACCTAGCTACTTCAATGGCACTCAGTAATACGAAGAGTTAATTGTTTGATACATACTGAACAATGTAACAATAAGTCCTGAGACAGAACACTCTTCTCACCACCATCATAGCACCCATTTGAATATCATTCAAATGTAACTGAAGCAACCTGGGCACCACCTACTCACCCCTGATCGAGAGTAACATCCTGGTCAGGGTCTATGAGTGACCCTGACCAACTAAGACCACAATCTCTACAGAAGAACAAAAGGTAAAGTGAGGAGCAATTAGCAGCAACACTAGGTCCAAACCAGTCCCTTCATCTTCTGCCATTCAGCCCACCAAATTTATCAATAAAATTGAAAAATAAAAATAAAAAAGTAAATATTAACAACCTAAGTCTTGGGTTGTCTCTTTGCCAAGTATGTTTTCTATTAAAGACCCTAAACGCGCAATCTAATCTGTATGACTACTAGAATAAAATAGCATATTTATAAATTTGCTAACTTAACCCTGTCACGTAAAACGAAACATTTTCCAGAGGACAAAATTACGAAATTCCTCTAGTGGGAGGCCTCCCAAAACGCCATCTAGCTGCCACAGTAGGGCTTACAAGTCTTTAGTAGAAAATTGACTTGGCAGAGGGAGACAAGCCAGCTCTGAAAATACAAATGACATTAATTCAATGACATTAAAGACAATTTAAGTCAAAATACTGTCAGTTTGACAGAATTAATGAGTTTTAATTAAACATTTTATAAAAACATCTATGGGCTGAATGAACATTTAACTCAAATAACTTCACAGCAGCTAATTCACTAGCCTGAAATACAAAGAAATATTGAAACAACTGTTATAGTCAACTTCTCACAAAAAAAAGACTCTAAACATGTGCTCTGGTCACTGGTCTGAAAATTAGCAGCTACAAGCAGACTAACATCCAGAACAGGGGTCAGCAACCTTATTAAAACCTAGCTACTTCAACGGCACTCAGTAATACGAAGAGTTAATTGTTTGATACATACTGAACAATGTAACAATAAGTCCTGAGACAGAACACTCTTCTCACCACCATCATAGCACCCATTTGAATATCATTCAAATGTAACTGAAGCAACCTGGGCACCACCTACTCACCCCTGATCGAGAGTAACATCCTGGTCAGGGTCTATGAGTGACCCTGACCAACTAAGACCACAATCTCTACAGAAGAACAAAAGGTAAAGTGAGGAGCAATTAGCAGCAACACTAGGTCCAAACCAGTCCCTTCATCTTCTGCCATTCAGCCCACCAAATTTATCAATAAAATTGAAAAATAAAAATAAAAAAGTAAATATTAACAACCTAAGTCTTGGGTTGTCTCTTTGCCAAGTATGTTTTCTATTAAAGACCCTAAACGCGCAATCTAATCTGTATGACTACTAGAATAAAATAGCATATTTATAAATTTGCTAACTTAACCCTGTCACGTAAAACGAAACATTTTCCAGAGGACAAAATTACGAAATTCCTCTAGTGGGAGGCCTCCCAAAACGCCATCTAGCTGCCACAGTAGGGCTTACAAGTCTTTAGTAGAAAATTGACTTGGCAGAGGGAGACAAGCCAGTTCTGATAATACAAACTGTTCAATGACATTAAAGGCAATTTAAGTCATAATACTGTTAGTTTTAAAGAATTAATGAGTTTTAAATCAACATTTTAAACACATCTATGGGCTGAATGAACATTTAATTAAAAATAACTTCAGCTAATTCACTAGCCTGAAATACAAAGAAATATTGAAACAACTGTTATAGTCAACTTCTCACAAAAAAAAGACTCTAAACATGTGCTCTGGTCACTGGTCTGAAAATTAGCAGCTACAAGCAGACTAACATCCAGAACAGGGGTCAGCAACCTTATTAAAACCGAGCTACTTCAACAGCACTCAGTAATATGAAGAGCTACTAGTTTGATGCATATTTAGTGAACAATGTAACAATAAGTTCTGAGACAGAACACTCTTCTCATCAACATCATTGCACCCATTTGAATACAATTCAAATGTAACTGAAGGAACCCGGGCACCACATACTGACCACTGATCTAGAGTAACATCCTGGGCAGGGTCTATTAGTGACCCTGACCAACTAAGACCACAATCTCTACATCAGTGAAACTAACAAGCAGCCAAAGAGAAATTAAAACCACAACAATCCTTATGCAGCTGAGCAGGTATTAAACTCCTGTCATCTGTGGTCAGTCTGAGTCCTGATGACAAGACCCAGGCTTTTTAGGGGGGGCTAAACACAAGAGTCAAATTAGTTTTCTACACAACAAACTGACACTTTGAGGATTATAAATCAGTGGTAATGTGCAATCTAATCTGTATGCCTACTAGAATAAACCAGCATAATTATACAATTGCTATTTTAACCCTGTCCAGTTAAACAAAACATTTTCCAGAGGACAAAATTACAAAATTCCTCTGGTGGGAGACCATCTAAAACACCATCTAGCTGCCACAGTAGGGCTTACAAGTCTTTAGTAGAAAATTGACTTGGCAGAGGGAGACAAGCCAGTTCTGATAATACAAACTGTTCAATGACATTAAAGGCAATTTAAGTCATAATACTGTTAGTTTTAAAGAATTAATGAGTTTTAAATCAACATTTTAAACACATCTATGGGCTAAATGAACATTTAATTAAAAATAACTTCACAGCAGCTAAATCACTAGCATGGAAAACAATGATAAATATTGAAACAACTGTTACAGTCAACTTCTCATAAAAATGACCCTAAACATGTGCTCTGGTCACTGGTCTGAAAATTTGCAGCTACAAGCAGACTAACATATTGAGTAACATCCTGGTCAGGGTCCATTAGTGACCCTGACCAACTAAGACCACAGCCTCTACAGTGAAACTAACATAGCTGAGAAAAAAATAAAAACATAACAATCCTTATTCAGCTGAGCAGGTATTAAACTCCAGTCATCAGTGGTCAGTCTGGGTCCAGGGGCAGCACCTAAACATGAAGGAGTCCAGAAGGAGGTGCTGTAGGTCTGGATCATCTTGGCTGCAGACATGATGAGACAAGGATGTAGTTTATCCGACTTCCATGGTGTCAATTATTCTGGATCAAAAAACAAACAAAAAAAACCAAGACAAAACAAAGGTAAGCAACCATGAATCACAAACAAATAAAGATGAGAAGGAAAAACCTGTCTTCTAATGGTACTCTGCTCAGGAGTCTGCTTCAGCCGTGCTTCACCAGGTCCAGTCCAACATCTGCCACAGAACATAAGGAGAAGAAAAAACAATGTCCTGGTTCTTGGCCATGTCATTCAACATTCAGTCACATCAGTAGTATTCAGTAATGGGAAAATTAATAACAGAAATTCCTGCTCACCCCTGGTCCACTCTACCAGAATCCATCTTCTCCAGACTTGGTCCACAGAATCCTAGACAGATCAGATCAGGTTAAAGCGAACAGATTCAGAAATGTCAATATGCAGAATAAACCTGAAGAGATCTGGCAGCCAATGGGTGGATCCTCCTGGGCCACTTCTACCCCAAACTCCAGGATGCCAGATTTCCAGAACTTGTTTGGATCCACTACAAGACAGGATAAAAAATAAAATCCTCCTTAGTTTAACCAAGTCTGAGATTAAACTGTCGACACATCAACAGAAGGTAAAGTGAGGAGCAATTACTTTTCAATACAATTTAAAAGAAAATGTAAATATTAACAACCTAAGTCTTGGGTTGTCTCTTTGCCAAGTATATTTTCTATTAAAGACCCTAAACACACAATCTAATCTGTATGACTACTAGAATAAACCAGCATATTTATAAACCTGCTAACATAACCTTGTTCATTAAAACAAATACATTTTCCAGAGGACAGAACTACAAAATTCCTCTGGTGGGAGGTCCCCCAACAGACCATCTAGCTGCCACAGTAGAGCAATTTAAGCCAAAATACTATCAGTTTGACAGAATTAATGAGTTTTAATTTAACATTTTAAACACATCTATGGGCTGAATGAACATTTAAATCAAATAACTTCACAGCAGCTAAATCACTAGCCTGAAAAACAAAGATTTATTCAAACAAATGTATAGTAAACACATCAAATATTACCCTAAACATGCTCTGGTCAATGGTCTGAAAATTAGCAGCTAGAAGTAGACTACCATCCAGAACAGGGGTCAGCAACCTTATTAAAACCTAGCTACTTCAATGGCACTCAGTAATACGAAGAGTTAATTGTTTGATACATACTGAACAATGTAACAATAAGTCCTGAGACAGAACACTCTTCTCACCACCATCATAGCACCCATTTGAATATCATTCAAATGTAACTGAAGCAACCTGGGCACCACCTACTCACCCCTGATCGAGAGTAACATCCTGGTCAGGGTCTATGAGTGACCCTGACCAACTAAGACCACAATCTCTACAGAAGAACAAAAGGTAAAGTGAGGAGCAATTAGCAGCAACACTAGGTCCAAACCAGTCCCTTCATCTTCTGCCATTCAGCCCACCGAACATTTACATGTTTACATTGATATAACTACAAAGGCAGGCAAATCTACATGACATAAGAATGCTGAACATCCATGTTGGTAGACGAGGCTTGGAATGCACATTGATAGTTTAGGCTTGACATCCTTATTGGTAGATGAATCTTGACATCCATGTTGATAGTTTAGGCTTGACATCCTTATTGAAGATGAATCTTGACATCCATGTTGATAGGTGAATCTTGACTTTGTTGATGGTTGATGATGATCGCAACGTCCAAAGTGGTGCAAAACGACAGCGAACAGGACATCAAAATTGTGGAAGATGATCGCAACATCCACAATGGTGGAAAACAACCGCAAACGGGATGTAAAAATTTTGAATTGGTTTATATAACTCTAAACTCTAAATGAATAAGTCTAAAAAAAGTTTTTTGAGACCAGCTAATGCCCATTACTGGGACTTGCAGTACTGGAGGCGATGTAGGCGTGGCAACCAGGAGGGGACGCCACACTTGCAGTGAACTAGTTACTGGACGTCAGCCTTTAGACATCCAGATTCACCAGCCTATGAACCACAATTCGAATTCCACATTCAAACACATGAAGGAAGGCTCGGCGGCCCAAGGAAGCACAGCAGCGGCGCGGCAGCCGCAAAGAGGACAAGAAAAACGACGCTCCCTACTTTGTTGAAGATCTTCTGGACGAATCTAGCAAAAAAAAAAAAAAAAAAACCAAAAACTCTGGGTGGGAGATCTTCAGGCTGAACAGGCGCTGAGTTTAAGTTCTTAACAACATTTGTCAAATTATTATTAAATAAAAATACCCGGAGTTTGACTTTACAGATCGCTCACCTCGGTTTTACTCCAGACGCGGACAACTTCGACCTGCTTTGGTGCGCAGAAATCCCAACGCACCAAACAAAGATTATTTCAAGATTAATTCACACGTTCATTTACCGTTCAAAATTCATCGTTGATGGAGCTGAAGCTGTACTTTAAACACTAACATGGTAACATATTAATCAAAGCGTAACCACGTTCTACAAACAAAAAGAACATGCGTCAGTTTTATTTAGTTTCAGCAAAACGTAGTAAATAATACTAAATAATACTAATAAAAGTTATTTTCGACTTTGAGTGAAGTGTTGGCTTTTAAAATGAATTAATACACGGAGTCAAAACGCCAAAAGTTGGAGAGAAATCCAAATGCCTCTCACCTTCCTGAGTCAAGTCGCCAATTAGTAATAATTGGGTACAGCTGCGTCTTTTTTGATGGGGCGCGTCGGACCTTTTTCCGCTTCTGATGTCACAGGCAGTGACACGCCTTTGTGAGGAGTGTGCAACAAAAAGTTTGAAAAATAATATTAAAATAATACACTAAATAAAAAATAAAATAAAAACGGTGACGTAATGTAACGTAGGTGAAATTATGGAATTTACGTAATTTACGGACAAATACGGAACAAAACATTTAATTGCCAATTAAAAGATGATTCTGTATTTTAGGGATGTGGCAACGCCAACTGTAACAGGCTTTATAAGTCCAGACATCTTGTTTGAATAGGACATACTAAGCTAATTGGGAAGAAGAATTAAGTTCTAATTTACCTCTAATTCACATTCCTCAGGAATATAGTAAGTACAAAACAAACAAAAAAAAAACAATAAGTTTGAATCAATACACAAGTCAGCACAGTTTAATTTGCTCTATTTCTGTAATAAAATCTCATTTCAGAGATAAGTTTGACAGTGAATAGACACATAAAGACCAGACAACATTTCCCTATAATTTGCTCTATTTCTGTAATAACACATAAAGACCAGACAACATTTCCCTGGTAATAAAAATCACACTCTCATCTAGACGTGGCTGTGGTAATTACTCTTCACGGGACAAAAAAAAAAAAAACAAAACAAAAAAAAACACTCTGATATTGATTACTCTCATAATTCATTTCCATCTTATGACATAGAGAGAGGGAGTGAGAGGGAGTGAGAGAGAGAGAGAGAGATTAAAATATGCTGGCAGATTAGTACTGCGTCCTAAACAGAACGTTTTTACGACCAGACTTTGAAGTGAGGCAGCAGCTATTGGCTCAAACCAACCCTTATCAATATTTGCCCAATAATGCACAAAAAGAGTAGAAATTAGTAGATATAGATAGTAGATATTCATGGTATATTATTATAATTATTATTATAGAATGTATTATATAATTTATTTTATATCTTTAAATCTTTTTGAAAGGGCCTCTTTTCCTATATATTATTTGTTAGTAGTCAAGTTGTACCGTCAACAAAGAAAATAAATGATCACCTTTGATAACCTCAATTGGGCTGGGGCTGTGGCCTGTGTGGTTTCCTGTAGTTCAAGCAGGCTGTAGGTCATCTTACTGTCTTATATTATTCATGTTATACTCAGGGTTTAAACATTTATATCGCATGACCTCCTACAAATAGCATTGTCCATCCATCAATAGTGTCTTCAATTACAACAATATAAAATATTTGGGAGTTTAGACCTGCTAGGGGGAATAGATACAAAGCCAGATGAGATATTAAAGTCATCAAACGTCACATTGTCTAAGACAGGAAAAATCCATTTGAATTTTTTTGTGAGTTTAATGCAAATGTGAAGCAGCTGACAGACTGACATTGCCATCACTTAGGCCGTCCTGACACACGGCTTAATTTTGATTAATATTTTTTGCAAAGTTCATAAAAATGAATGGCCAAAACATTATTAAACCACCCGGCTCTGCGTCACACAAGATGAATCAGCCAGATGCAAAGTTAGTCCCCATTACGAATTCCCAGTTGCGAAATAGCATGTGGCGGTGATTGAAGCAGTTGGCTGCACACTTATGAAAACCCATGTTTTTCAATGAGACACTTGTAATCAAATGAGTTCCATGATTATTTTGCGACAAAACAAGCAGAAAAAGAGCCGACCATGTGTCTAATTTATGGAGTGGCTGCTTCCTCTTCCTTTCTTCCCTCTCTCCCTCCCGCCTCACCCATTTACTCCAAATCAGTGCCATTCTCTTCCCAATCTTTTTTTTTTTCATTTTGCCTAAAAATTTTTTCATGTATCTGACTCCATCAGAGTCACGTTTCTCTTTGCTGTCAATCTCTTTATACTCCCCCTTGGTCTGTCTCCCTTTTCCCACTGTCTTTTCCCTCTCTTAATCCGTTCATCATTAATTCATGCGATGCAGCAGAGCAGAGGCTCAGTGAGTGATACACTTCAACCATAACAAACAAGCCCAAATATCTGCACTCAGCAGCAATGATCTGCATCACTGCGGGTGCACAAGTGAGGGAGGGAACTGGGAATGAAAATCCCCTTTTTTAATTTATTTATTTTGCCTTTTTTTTTTTGGACAGTGAAAAAGGCACTCACTTGGTTTTATCCCTACCTTTGATATTTAAATAAACAATAAATCTGATGAGAATCATTTTAATTAGACTTGATTTTTCCAGGGCTATTATGCATATTAAAATGTTTTAGTTAGCCTGAAATACACTATGCTGATGAAATAACTGCAAGCCTTTTTTTAAAATGATATACTTTGTTGGTTTTCAATGAAAACCCTAAAGTGGTTCCATCAAGCCACAAGGCCTAATTTGTATTACAATTTTAGAATAAAATGCTAAAGTGCTTTACAAAATAAAGGAAATGAAAAGCATTGGACCGTTGATGCATTTACCCTTGCAGCATATACCCAAGTCAGTGATCAAATAATCAGTAGTAAGTGTCATTTAGATGTTGTTACAGTCCCAGCCATAAACATTGATGTTGCCTAACAGCTGCCTGAAGCTGCAGTCGATTAAAAAGTACAAGATGACTGCCGACAATTTTAAATGATGCTTATATTTTTTATTCATTCATCATTCATTCATTTTATGACCATTATGAATTATTTTGTATTTATATATTTAAATTTATTATAATACGATCTGCAGGAAAACAGAAAATGTGGACATAGAAAAATGCACCCTGAAGGGGGTGCTATAATTGTTACTTTAAATAGATATAAACATGCAATGAGTCATAAATATAACCACAACATAAAATACACATTTCTATACTTACTACTACACATACAGTGTAACAGAAATAATCCTAACATTAGACTTAATCACAATTCTGAAACTCAATGAAGAAACGATAAAAGAAAAAGAATCATATAAATCCCATAACAATACATCACATATATCTTATAGACTTGATGCTTTAGGTAATTAATTTAAATGTAAAAAACCTCAACTACACTTATCTTAATTTACTTTTCATATTAGTTGACAACTATAAAAAATAATTTTTTTTTCTACATCCAAAAATTATTAATTTTAAGCTATCTAATATGGTTTCATATAAAAAAAAAATAATAATAGATGCACTCACACAACCACTGTATGGATTGTCATCGGACACATAAATATATAAAAAATATCTTCACAGGTTTTTCATTTACTGTTA